TGCTTGGGCATCGCCATGTTGGGGGACCGCCAAGTCCCCCTCTTTCTTTTGTGGTGAGCGGTGGAGGGGAAATTCTGGACCGGCTTCACCGCACTTTTTCTTCTTCTTATTATTGTTCGAAGCTCAAGACGATTGTCGGCGTTTTTCCCGGCTGTAAGCTATAAAAACTCTCCGAATGTTATATGTGTGTTGCCATTTTGAATACAAAACTCCGCCCTCTTGCATTTTAAAAAAAATTGCTCCTCCAATAATCGGCTTCACCACTAGTACCGGCCACGACTGCTTTGGGGAGGTGCGATAGGCCTCCACCTCTCAGCAAGTGCTTCACTGCATAGCAACGCTTATGGGCGCCGCCATCTTTGGGGATAAAAATTGACGCTGCGTTCGTTTCGTGGATGCACGTGAATAATATTTATTGGATGTTCGCGTGTCATCCAGCGGTTAGGAGAGCACCCATGACCTACTCATCTTCAGGAATGCACCTGAATCTATTTCCCGCAAAAACTGTCTTGATTTCTATAAATATTTCTGGTCCTGAATCTTATCCCGAATTTCAAGGAATTAAATAACACGATTCGGAATTCAGGCAGGCTTATATAATACTGGGAATTATGTTAAAATTCAGGTTTCATGCTTTCCTGGAAGCTGCCATTTTGGATCCACCCCTTTGCTATCACTATCCCAAAATAATAAAAAAAAACCAACCCACAAATATCCCATTAAGTTCCCGGATGTGTTTCCCTCCCTTTCGAGCATTAAAATGGCGTCCTCCTCCAGTGCCCGTATGTTGCCGCCCTGTGTTGTGTGAGATTCAAGATGGCGATTCTCCTATTCCGGATGGTGCGGATATATACGCATTCAAGATGGCTGCCTCATAAATACCCGGATGGGCCGAACCCTCGGTAAAAACGGCTTCTTTGAAGTCAAGAAACTTCCGTATTACGTTCTTGATGTATTTTCCCGATTAAACCAGGTTTATTAAATAATCGGATAACAGAAATGTACAATCGCTTCTCCTACGCGAATTGCTATACAGCCCCAAAATGGCGCTAGCTGAAATCTAGCGGGTAGCGTGACTGAAAAAGAAACCAAGATGGTGCTAACGGGCTCAATTACCCGGATGTTGAAGACAGGAACTAACATGACGCACTACGAATAAAGAACAAACGGGCTGTCGCGTGACGCCGCTTTTTTCAGCATGACCAAAGCTGTTGATCGAAGGAGCAGCGCGGACTGGTCTACTCAAGCTGGCGATTCAGAAGTTCAGTTACTAAAACGTGGATCCGTAGGAGACTTATTTAATTATCGCTTTCGAATTTCTCTTAAATGGAGAAAGATGCCATTTTTAGAATATATAGACTTTGAAATAGTAACACGATCTTAGAAAGTACCCTTAACAGTTTTTCTCTGGGACTCGCCGGTCTCAATTGCGCAGGCGCAGAAGCATTTCCCGGATAGGCCCTTCCCGGCTGCATCTGCGAAGACCCGGATGCTTTGGGTCTGGTCGTCAGCGATAAGAAAGCGGTCTTTCTTTGCCCGTGTTGCATGATTCCTGATTTGCAGTTGTCTTTGGCCATGGACACGTTGGCCTAACAATAAACCCCCGTGAATCCCGAAGGATTCATTTTGGAGCCTGCTTGCAGAGGATTACGTTGCGTTGAAACCAGTTAAACTTGCCCAATAAGCAATCAGCCTAGTTCTCTGCATGGTTACTGGGAAGTAAGTTCAGTAGGGCTTTTGTCTAAGTCGGTCAATTCAGAGTTGCAGGCTTTACATTGATAATAATTATTGATAATTATATAGTACTGTAGGATTTTGGCGTGGAGCAGTAGTTTAGAGGTACTACTGCCTTTGTAGAATACATCGAGGAAAAGTAACTGCCTGTATTTTGAGGTCTCCTGTATTATTTTTTACTATTTCTCATCATTCAACATTTAGATTCCCAAAGGTAGGGGCTTTTTCGGTTATATATCCCCAACTTGTGTTCGTTGTATCGATAATAAATTAACAGCAGATCTATGCTTTTTTTTAAAGTATAAGTTAAATTCCTGACTAGCAACTGGGAAGATAGTGCGAAGGAAGAAGATAGTGCGAAGTCTTTAAAATTAAAAATAAGTGATTTATGTAAATAAGTAAAGCAAGATCATGAAGTTCTGCTAATATTTTCTTATTGAAGGTATAAATATCAAATTAATATATACTTATGATCAGAAGGTACAATACCTGGAGCGAAATAGGGACCCATATCTCATGAGTTCAAAATGAATAATTATTTTGTTGTAAATTGAATTTCTTCTATAACAAGACTTTTTATGTTCTTTTTTCTATTTAATTTGCACTTTCTTTTTTTCTTCATCCATGGAGTATCTTTCTTAGTAGATATTACTGAAGTTCACTTGTTTGATTTTTTTTTTTTTTAATCTTCATTGGGCAAGTTTTTTAACCAGTGTACCTCAAATTGACTAACTTACAAAATGCATCCAAAATCTGGGACTCTTAACTGTTGTGCTACTGAAATTTGGCAAAATTTTGCTGCTTCAATGCTTCTGGGTGGCCAGCTGCTGTGGTCAGCTGCAGTCACATAATTGTCCAAAACGAAAGATCAACACTAAGATTCAGAATGTAACTTATACTTTAAAAATAATTTTAAACAACAGGAAAAGCAAATGGCAACAAGGAGTGGGCGAAATTATAAAGATTTCAAAGTTGATTCATTTCAATCCCACCATCATGCAAAAGCCTTTTATATCTTTGGTTGCTTTTATTGTCACATTTTTTTCTCTTTATGTGTCTGTTTTCTTGCTTTATTCCTGCACTAATATTTTATCATGTTTTATGCTTATGCACAGTATATACTGTCCAAATAAAATCCTAATGCCACCACAATAATTTCACAGATAGTTTGCCTTTCTGTGTTTCTCCATATTGAAAGATTTGTTTTTCCCCTTTTAAATATTAGGCAACAATTTTGGGTTTCCTCACCAGATTTGAAAGGCATCCATCTTGAGGTATGGATGACTGCTAAGTATGCGATATCTAGCATAAAAGGTGTAGGAAGAAACTATTGCAGATTGCTGTAGGCACTCATCCATTACTTTAGGCTGAATACATTGCTGTTTTCACACCAAGTTATGCTGTGTGTCATTACTTTTACATGAGTTGTATTGGTTACCCATTTCGTATAGGAAAAATGCCACAGAATATAATGGATATTTGGTTCCATGTACAATTCACAGTGTTAGTCATCACCTAGAGACCACTTCATGGCAATCTGAGGGATTATCTCCAGTTGTTTCTGCCCACTAGGAATACTCAGGCAGGGTAGATGTGCTCCAGGTCTCTTCAATTAAATGCTTATTAAATGCTTGCAGGATTATGAAAATGTCCTTCTCTGTCACTATCTTTGACTTGGGGAAAAGCATTCTCTGGAGATGTTTGTTGTTTTCACTCTCCAGATTTCTCTCCTAGTCTGGGTGGCATATAAATGTAATCAATCAACAGTATTCCAGAAGTCCCTTAAGACTTGGCTGTGCTTCTTGGCGTGGGGTTAGGATGCTTGTGTTTTAATTACATATATTTGATATTTTGTAAATCCCGCAGAGTATTTTAATTGGGTGGCCTTAGTACTCTAGCTGCACAGAAATTTCGTTGAGATTTTTCTATGGACATGTGATATATTTTAATGAAAACACAGGAACAAATATAATTTTCTTCTTCAATCGAAATATCTTGGGCTTGACCCCTGATATAGTGCAGAAGAAAATAGTTATATTTTTAAAAAATACACACTCATGATGCCACTGCAAAAGGTTACATATATATAAATAGTTTATTAGGTATGAATTGTACTTTTGCCTTGTGCTGTGCCAAATTTCATTATAGTTCTGTCACATCACTTTCTGTCCAAGTGGGTACTTTACCTGAGGATATGTTGAGATTAATTTCCCTGTACTAGGTTTTATTTCCTCAACCAGAGCATTTTTAAAAAATATTTATATCCCATGAGCAACAAGATTTTACAAAGCTATCAACAGATCTGCTTTACAAAACATGCATCTACTGAAGATAATTTAATGTGCAGTTTAGCATTAATGGGACAATAATTGTGATTGCTTTTTTCTTAAGTATAGGAGTCAGATATTGAAGTATTAAAATAAATGGCAACCATTCATTGTTTGAGACTTATAGGCTAGAAAAAGCCATGAATAGAAATTGAAACATTAAGGTTACAGTCGGGTAAATTAGGTCTGAAATCACAGATTATATTGGTAGGGAAAAGACAAGACAAAGCACCAATTGACCTTAGAAAGGTTAGAAGGAGGTCTGTAAGGAATCTAATGGTAATTCAAGGAGCCTGGGCAGGCTGTGGCAAATCAACTCCAGGCTGTCTTGAATGAAGCTGATTATCCAGATCCCTTTCAGTTTAGCTATGGAACTGGAACTACCTTAGTTGCCTTGTGGGGTGACCTGCACTGGAAAAGACGGGAAGTGTAATACAGTTGGCGTTTTGAACCAGTGCTAATGGATAGAATAAAGGTCAATAAACAGACATGGTCTAGACCAGTGGTTCTTAACCTTTTTGAACGAATCGCCCCCTTGAGCCAATGAGGAAGTTGTCATTGCCCCCCTCCCCCAACCTCTCAATCACAACATAGGAAATAATTCTTCAATTTTATGCAAACACTTTTTTTTGTTTTCTTTAAAATTGTCATCAGGACATATCGATGCAAATAATTTATTTCCAATCTTTTTCCCATATCTCCCATATTCTGACCAATGGCGCGCCACTGTATGGGTAGAGGCTGCTGTGCAACGCGCATGAAGATATATATGGCGTTCTGTACTGAAGCTAGCTGGAGGAACTTGAAAATACAATTCAATCCACTAATAGCGAGCGATGTGATGTTTTTGTACGACAGATATATAGTGATTCACTGTACGAAAAAGTCTCAAAAGTGTCCCCAAAACTTCTCGCTCCATCGCCCCCATATCGCCCCCTTTTCGTTCCTTTGCCCCCACGTTGCCCCTTTTCGTTCCATCGCCCCCCTGAAGAATGAAATTGCCCCCTGTGGGGTGATATCGCCCAGGTTAAGAACCACTGGTCTAGACAATATGGAGATGCTGTTTGTGGGTGATGCATCTGTCCAGCTGAGTGGTGCCCTGCCTTTCCTGGGGGTCTAAACTTGCCCTAAAGAAGCAGGTTCACAATTTGGGGATGCTCTTAGATCTATCCCTGTGACTTGAGGCCTTCATATCATGGAGTGCCTTTTATCAGCTTTGATTGATTTATCAGCTGTGATCTTATTGGACAGAAAGAGCTTTGTAACAGTTATTCAAAGCCTGGTAATTTCCTAGTTGGATTATTGAATACATTGTACATAGGGTGCCTCTGAAAATGATCTGCAAACTTCATTTAGTTCAAAATAAAACAGTTACCAATAGAGGAGAATATTTGTAGCTCATAGTTGAAATGAGTCCTTGATGCTCTCTGAGCTTGGTTCAAGCTCATAAAGCAGCTAGACTGCTTAATGGGGTTGGCTGATGGGAACTTAGTGATGCCAGTTCTTTGTGATTTACATTGATTTGCCAATCCATAGCCAGGTTTTTAGGGTCTTACAAAAATCTAAGTGTTGAAGCCAGGGCTTTTTTTCTCATAGAATGCCCAGAACAGAGTTCCAACACCTTTTTTGGATGGAACCTTGGAGGGTAGGCAAGGTGGGTTGTATGACGTGTGTGAGTTCTGGCACCTTTTTTTTTTTTTAAATAGAAAAAAAGCACTGGTTGGAGCCATTCTAATCTCAAAAGGCATGATGTTCCATAAAGCAGGGGCCACTGTAGAAAAAGTCCATCTTCTAGTCCCCGCCAGCCAACACTCTTTGGCTGATGGGATCTGGATATTAGTTTTTGAATAATAGCTGTCTAATTTATGTAATGTTTATAGTTTATTTTATGTTTTTATTTAAATTGCATTTTAGTGTGTTTTATTATACATTTCCCAGAGAGATCCAGCTATTGGCTGGTTCATACATAATAAAGAGTGAATTTTTTTAAAAATTAAAACATATAACCATTTTTTTGCAAAACACTTTGGAATTCTTTTACTAATTCATTTTTAAATTTAAATTGGCTCCTCAAAGCACTTCAGTCCCCCCCCATTTTTAAATTTCCCATACAAAGGTGCAATATTCATGTAAATACCATATTTGAAATATAAATTTTTGGATTGCAATTTAGAAAATGTGTAATATTCATAATCTTAATTATGGATGTTCCTATATATTATGTAGTTGTCCTTAAGGAGACATTGGTTCCTATAGATACATGCAATACTATGGTTATTTTTCTCACCATTGTAATAAATATATTGCTTGCTCCCTCTTTTTAGGACCCTTTAAGGATAGTTTGATTTATTGTCACAGAGTGGGTTTGCATAATACACAAGGTTATTATATATTTGCCTAGTTTGTAAATCATGGTGTACGTGAGACAAATAACAGTAGCATGATTCATCTATGTTTCAGTATGGTGTACAAATCTGGGCACTTGGGTAAGTCAGTAAATCTTTGTTCATTGATTTATGAGTAAGTGTGTTATGCAAATACAGCCTCAGTATTATTCATTCAAATCAAGGTTCACCTCTTAGAAATCTATGACTTACTCTCTTTTTCCTGCACCCTCTTCTGCTAATTGTATTTTGCATTCTCCCTCCACTCTCAAATGTTTTGAACCTTTGTTCAATCATTCTGTAACTCTTAAGTGTTGTTTCTGTTTATGTGGGGATGGAGAAAGCAGGTTGGTTTTGAAGAGGTATTCATGTCTCTCCAAAATTAGAATTGATGGAAAAGAACAGAACATCTTTATTGTGTTCACTGACCAGAATTGTGCATACTTTTGTAATAACGTTTGCAGAGCTCAAATGGAAATAAATGAAAACTTCTGATTAAATTAGGAGAAACTAAAATTTAGGAATAAAGTGTAAGAAATAAAGTAGTAAAAATTTAAGTGTTGTAATATTACTTCACCAAGATAAAGGCAAAACCCAAAATATACTGTGTTATTGTTTTAGATTGGAGTACACTTTTCTTTTATATCTTGGTAAATAATATAAAATAATATAAAAATTGTCAGAAGAAATGAAATGTAAGGTGAAATTAAATACAGGTGATGAATTTCATGATAATATTAGCAGTACAGGAACACATGACCTGTAGTTTCAACTGGTCCAGAATGGCAGGGACAAAACCTCACCTTTGAAGTGAATTTGTTGATATCTTCCTTTCAATGAGAGGCAAATCAGTATGTTAATTGCTTTTGGGCAACTTTTTTATCTTTAGGGAAACCCAAATAATTCAGGCCTGTTTTAGTTGGATCATTATTTTATAATTTTGCTTCCAATGTCATTTTCCAAGCTGAATGAAAATGAACTAACAATGTGAAGGCAATCTTGCTGTGATATTTGCCACCTTATTGATAATCAGGGTTCATTCAGCTTTTAGTGGAAAACTTGTTGCTAATGTCTCAGCACTTTAAGTGGGTGCTTCTACTTGCTTCTTAGCAGTTCATCCATTCTGCTCTGAATTTCACATAATTTTAAATGAATTATATTTTTGTTATTGATGAATAATACTTTAGACAAAAAATGATATTCTTGCCTATTGATTTCCACCACAAAAAGCCACCTTCCTCTAAGTCAGGGGTTCCCAATCCCCGGGCCTCAGACCACTACTGGGCCACGTGCAAGTGGCAGGCAAGCATGCTAAGCTTCATTTGCGCATTTGTGAGATTAGGTTGAGCATGTGAATCCATCCCTTCACCCACCCAACCCCGACACTGGTCCGTGCAGCCAAAAAGGTTGGAGACCACTGCTCTAAGTCTTTACCAATAAGTATATGTTTGGGAACATAGTTAAGGTATCACATAGATTTGCTTTCAGATAAGATAATTAATGCAGTAAAATGTAGGAATGGGGAACTTTGCATTGTGTAATGGTATCGAGCTATGACATAATTAAAAAGCTGGATGCTGTAGTTGAGCAATATTGAGGTGTCTATTAGTTTCAGACAAAGACCAAGAAAATGCCATGAAATTTCCTGAGTGATTATGCTTCCCCTCTTTAAATAAGCAGTTGAGTGGCTGCAAGCATACAAACATATACTCCTTTCAGCTTAGAGAAAAGGTATACAGTACATGGGCTCAAGATTTCCAGTTAATACTTCTGATCAGGAGGATTTCTACAACCAGATGTTTCCCGAATAAAAATCCCCAGGACCTGAAGATAGTGTTAATTAGGAATAGGGATCTATAAAGCCATTGGTGCATGAACCATTCTTTACACATAGCACTGAATTTTAGGTGGTTTGTGTCTGACCCGAAACATTTGTATTCAGCCCAGATTACCAAAATGGGCTGTTTTGTCCTGAATTATAGATTGAAAGCAGAAAAGCAGGAAAAATCGAAGGACATGGGTAGAGGGAGAGGAGGGGGGAAGAGATGCGACAGAGGGGAAAAACATTAGGGAGATGAAAGGGGGCCAGCTGGGCAGCGGGCTATTACCCTGGGGAGGTTGATGTGTGGAGAGAAGTGGTGATGTACCCCAGCTTTGCCTTGTATTCTCTGCAGAATCTCCAGGATCTATGCAGATTTCGTATTGGATGGATCATCTAAAACGGTGATTAGAATTTCAGAGAAGTGATTCCCTCCCCTCCCCAGTTGAACCAAATATACAATGTACTGTATTTTCTAGGTTTTTTTTTTAATACTCCCTATTGGAAGCATTTTCCTGATGTCCAGCTTGGTGGCAGTATCTAGCTATCCTGGAGTGATCTCAGAAAAATAGGTTTAGATACATCTAGTACTTGGATGAAAGAATCCCAGCACCTTGCTTTGTGGGACTCAATGGGGTATCTCAAAGGGATAACAGGGCTGTATGTAAAGTTGGAAGTCAAAACTACAAGGCAGTGGCAAGCAAATTCCATGCTATTAGCAGGAAAACCTCAGGCTTGGTTCATGTGGTCATTAGGAGCCAAGCTTAATGTGGAAAAAAATCTTTCCCCCCCCCATCTAAATAATAAAAAGTTATTACTAAATTAATAAACAACATTGGGTGCAAAAAATCTTGAATGGCATTTGCAAAATCTGTGCATTGACAAAATTTCCATCTGTAAATTACAAAAAGCCACACTGCTTGGATCCTACACCAATTCATTACAAGTTCCTAGGTTCTTGGGAAGAACTTGATGCCTATGAAAGCCAACACCAGGTAAAGAACTAGTAGCTTTGATGTCACATTGCTGTGTATAATAATATTAATTGAACTTTTCCTCCACCTGAATCTCTTCCCAACTCTAAATTACTTCTGAAGTGTCTTTTAAATAATGCCGTAGATTTATTTCTAAGAGGGTGCAGTAGATGTGTCTGCAAAGTTGATATGTACAAAAGCAACTTGTTTGCAAGAAAAACCGGAGAACAGAAAGCTTTGCAGCCTGAGCTTAAAGGGCTCTCTAGGCTTACTATCTAGCACTTCTTGTCTCCATGGTTACAAAACAGAAGATCATGGGAAGGAAATCACCCTACCCCCCCCATTTCCTCCACAATGCAGTGATGTCACCAATAGCCAATCCTGCCACTACAGCTGTTTCATAACAGCAAATGCTAGAATCTTCTTGGCAGGAGCTGCCAAGAAAACATGCTGGGCCTTTGCTTGAATAGGCTCATGCTGTTGGCTGTTTGAACAGGAAAGGGAAGATGAGTGTTTTCAGCAATGGAAAATGTCACCAAGCTTTCTAAGAGGAGAGTTTAACTGAACCCACTCACTTCCTGTGTACATTAGTGGGGAAAGTATCAAAGCCCACTCTGGGCAGTAAACTCATCTTGGGAAACTAATCAACTGTGTCATCCATTTCATGCTCTCTTCTTGTTTTTTGTAAGCTATTCTAGGAGGAATGGGATTTGAACAGATGGCCAGACTGGCAAAACGAGGGAATAAATAATGGGGAAAAAAAGCATTTGTAGCAGTGGCAGTCGTTCGGCAGCGGTGCAGAGAGCAAGGCTCAAGACTTTGAAAAAGACAGCTATGAAGTCAGAAGATGACAAGCCATTCTTGCATGTGACTGGAGGCCTGCTGCTTTGCATACTAGTGGTGGCTTCAGGAATTTTTGATGGCGCTCACATAGATACTGGCTACGAGCATTATGCTGAACCAACTGTGCCTGGAATGCCAACTTTCCTAGCTATGCCAGCAAATTGCTTAATCAATTTGGCCTACTTACTTCTGGGTTGGTATTGGTGGCCACCAGGTGACAAGAGTAGGCAGACCTACTTTCAAGAGATCTTTGCCCTCATGGCGCTTTTATATGGGCCTACACAATGGGTCCGGCTGTGGACACAACATCACTGGGCAGCTGTGCTAGATCAGTGGTTAACACTACCAATTTTTGCTTGGGTCATTGTTTGGTGCCTTTTTCTTGAAGATGGGTGGCAACCATATGTTTTTCTAGCCATAGAAGTGACTTCACTGACTAGTTATGTTCTGGCATTGCTTCACCCACAAGGTTTTGAGTTGGCATTGAGTGGACATATAATTGCTGTTTTTTGGAGAGTACTGAAAGTGCAAAGACATTTTGGCAGTGCCAGTTCCATCTGGATTATAGTTCTGGGGACGATGTGTTGCTTGGGTTTTGTAAGCCTCAAGGTGTGGGATCGGGAACTGGCCCAGTGGGTGCTCTTCTCTCGGCTCACTGGTCATTTTTGGTCCAAGATATGCGATGTGTTGCAGTTCCATTGTGCTTTTCTCTTTCTTACCTTAATGAGCAGACATCGACTATGCTCAATGAAATATAATTTCAGTGAACAATCTTAATCAAAGGAGAAACTTATAATAGTACAAGAACATAATGTGGTTTGAAAGAAAAAGTCTGCTCAAATATGCCAGTTTCTTCAAAAGGCTACTGAAGATAGTTGGTGAATCCACACAGTATCACTCAGTTCATTTCCTGTTGAATATAATGCTGTTTTATAAAACCACATGGGAGAGAAAAAAATTGCTGGTTTATACAGATAGTCTTCAACGTACAACCAATTGTCTAGTGACTGTTTGAAGTTAACAGAACTGAAAAAAGTGATTTACGACCAGTCCTTACACTTAACAACTGTCACAGCATTGCCATGGTCATATGGTTAGAATTCGGGTGCTTGGCAACCCAAATGTATTTATGACGATTGCAGTGTGTCCCACGGTCATGTGGTCATCTTTTGAGACCTTCCCAGCTGGCTTCTGACAAGCAAAACCAATGGGGAAGATGGATTTGCTTAACAACCATGAGATTCCTTTAATAATAAGAATAATAATTCAGTTAACAACTGGGGCAAAAAAGATTGTAAAATCCTGTAGACTTGCTTAACAGTCGCCTTGCTTAGCAACAGAAATTCTGTTCTAATTGTGGTTATAAGTCAAGGACTACCTATAAAAACTGGGCCTAATTCCATTAGAGAAGCCCTTTCAGCCAATTGAAGTTTCTGATGGAACACTAGGAAATGGCATTTCCAAGAGGCAGTTATCTGCCTACAGTTTTTACATGGCAGTTCGGTCATGGCTAAACCTGTAGGGCAGTGGTTCTCAACCTTTTTAATGCCGCAATCCCCAACCGGTCGTAAGTCGAGGACTACTCAACTGGTGCAGCACCGTTTGCAGAATGGGACTTTTGACGGGCTCAGCAGGGCAGAGACAGCCTGGACAATTCCTATTAGCTTTTGAAAGCCAATAGAATTAGACTCTATTCAAGAGAGTCTATTCTATTGGCTTTCAAAAGCCAATAGAATAAAAGGGAGTAGCATAGCTAAGGAAAAGGGGGAAAAAATGGCGGACTGTGTTGTTTGGCGACCCCCGTGAAATGGTCAGTCGACCCCAAATGGGGTCCCGACCCACAGGTTGAGAACCACTGCTGTAGGGGGTTGTTGACAACTACAAACACACTTAAGGTATAGGATCAGAACCTTTGAAGCACAACTTATTACAGAGTGGCAGATGTTTTTCAGTATCATTTTTAAGGTAGGCTGGAGCAGATGCACACTTTGGAAGTGCCTTGCCATACTTTGTCACTGATGAGTCAAATAGTAATAAGGTAATATATGCATATTTTGCATACGAAGATTCAACCCTTGCAATCACTAGGCCCAAGTGGAGAAAGATTCCTGTCTCAATCTAGAAGAACTGCTCCAGAGTATGATTTGAACGAAAGGGATTAACAGTCATTTGATGAAGTCATTTTCCTTTTCTTCTGAATAGCTGCTTTTGCAAGGTCACTGAACCCCAGTTGTTTTCTTCCTTAAGGCCTGTGCAAACAGTGATGTCCTGAGCCCACTGTAAGTTGGCTACAAGAAAATATATTTTTGATTTTTATCTAGCAGCTTAGTTTAAGATACATAGCGCTTCCTCTTCTATCCCATTCCATCATCGGTTTGGGCTGAGACAGGCTGGCCAAAGTCACACATTGAGCTTCCACAACTAAGGATGAATTTGAACTTTCATCTTCTTCATCCTTTGTCCAATGTTTTAGCCTTTTCCTACTACAACTTCTCCCTTCACAGTGATGCAATGTAATTATTCAGCATTATTAATATTTAGAATAGTTCAGTTTTGAATAGAAACATCTTACTGTGATGTTGAACGACATTCTTAAAACATAATCTGTCATGGCTATCACAACTGCAGCACAGCAAAAAAAAAAAAAAGAATCATTGCAATGGACAAAATTTACCAACCTGACATTGTGTAGATTTTTTTCTTTCCATTTTATCTTAGTTATAATGACTGTATCCAAATTTGGGGTTTTAAAATTTTTCCCTTTCACTGTATATCACTACTTTTTTCCTCTTAATTTTGTGGGTTTTTTGTATTAAATAACAATAATAAAACAACCTACCATTCTGATAACCACCTGGTTGAATAATCAGTAATCCACTTCCATATGGTTTTACAGCTGTTTCTTGTAGTGAAAATATGGAGAAGATGAAACAAAAGAAGGCAGATGTTCTCGTCTTTCTGAAAACCCTGATAGGACAAAGTTTCTGCTTTCTAAGTTTCCTCCTTCCACAGGAGGTAGTCTTGTTTATAACTATTGTAAACATCTACGCCTTGCGAATATCTATAAACTAAATGACACTGACAACTTACAAATATATAAAATGTTTTATTATCTATTCAGTAAAAGGGAGCATGTAGTGAGGAATTTGTATAACCATGAAAACCCACATCATCACCACTCCTACCCCACCAGTTTTGATCTCCATACATAACCCCAATGGTGACTTCCATTTATGTCAGATTGCTGGCCTGAAGCCAAATTGTACCAGAAACACGTACCACACTGGTACCAACTAAGGGAACAGGCATGGTATCCAAAGGAGGATAGATGACCCTACAATTTGCAAAGTGCTGTCAGCGCGATGAGAACTTTGATCCTGTCTTTGTTGAATTTGTCACTCAAATTCATCACTCTCTTCAGGTTCACGAGGTGGCTCACCAACACGGTCTGAAGGGGAGAAAGAAAAACTCAGGTTTCAACCGCTCATAAATTTTTTTCCAACTGCTCTTTAAGGCACTGATCTCAGCTAACAGTTTGTCACCTGTCCCAAAACTGGAACTCATAAATAGCACAATAGGATCATAAATCTGTCTGAGTTGCCTTCAGTCCATCTTTCCCAAAGCCGTTCCAAGTCTAGTATCCTCTAGCTGTGATCGAGAGTTAAAATCTAATGCAGTGGTTCTCAACCTGTGGGTCGGGACCCCATTTGGGGTCGAACAACCATTTCACGGGGGTCACCAAACAATGCAGTCTGCCATTTTTTTCCCCTTTTCCTTAGCTGTGCTACTCCCTTTTATTCTATTGGCTTTTGAAAGCCAATAGAATAGACTCTCTTGAATAGAGTCTAATTCCATTGGCTTTCAAAAGCCAATAGGAATTGTCCAGGCTGTCTCTGCCCTGCTGAGCCCACCAAAAGTCCCATTCTGCAAACGGTGCTGCAAGTTGTCTGCAGCGAAAGCAAGCTGTCTGGAAGTTTCCACCCCTCCCTGCTGAGCAACTACTAAAAAAGTAAGTAAAAGAGGGCCAGGGGTGGGAGGCCGGGCGCAGGGAGGGTTGCTGGCATGCGTGGGGCCTGGCGGGTGCCTTACCCCCCTTGGGCTGGGCCAGCCGGTGGTCACCCTGTGCCGTCGCTGCCCCTTGCCAGCTACACCTCAGCCGGCGCAGGGGGCAGCACCACGCATGCGCGGCACTCCCAGGCAGGGAAAGTCCTCGACTTACGACACCGATTGGGTAGTCCTTGATTTACGACCAGTTGGGGGGTCGCGGCATTAAAAAGGTTGAGAACCACTGATCTAATGCATTGGCAAATACCACGTTGGGAAAGAGTGGCCTAAAGACCAGATGTTGCAATGTGTCAAAGAGCTTGGATTTAGTTTCTCAGATGATTTTGTGCTATATTGGATAAAGGACACACATCCTCCGAAAATAATGACGTCCCGTGTTTATTTATTTACTTAAAACATTTCTACCCAAGGAAGTCTGAACAGAAATAAAACATAACTAAACTATACAAATCCAATTCAAAAGAAACTGGCTCAGAGCCCCACAAAATTACATTAACAGCTCATCAAACAAACTCACCCCCATGCCAGAACACCATCCATATCCCAGCTTTAGCGCCTGGATGAAGAGCCAAAGTCTTCCAAAAGGCCAATAGGCTCATTTAAGCTAAGGAGGTCAGGAAATGCAGCACATAAGCCAGGTAGTCGAGGTCAGAGTAAAATGGCAGGCCTGCTGCTTTTCCCCCCTTTCCGCCTTGTGGAATGCCTCACATCTGTACTGTTAACATGGCCTTTATTTCAAGGATCAGCAATACCAGAAGTGAAGGAAGTGTTTCAACCTAGGCATCTGTTGATGAATTTATTTTTTTCTCAATAATTTTTCCCCCCCTCAGTTCATTTGGGATTAGGAAGATTTAAATCTGAAAAAAAAAGTAGTGAGACTCCAAATTTCTCCGATCATGACTGTTATGGCTGCACTGTGGGCATTAGTGAAATGGCAAGCTTGACTGTACATAGGGGAAAAAAAGGGGAAAAAGAATTGACTTTACAAAGTACTTTGCACAAACAGGAGATCAGGTGGTAAATCACCTATACTGTACCATTCTGGATTATATGGTCAGAATGCATGATTAAACATTCCATCATATTCACCACCATGGCTACGATTGGGATATATACAGTTTATTTCCTCTTTGTGTTGAGGAAAAAGAAGGGGACAATTAGCTTCCATCCCAATTTTTTAGGTGAAGGGATTTTTTTCAGGGAACTAAAACATTCTGTCCTGTATTTTGGAGAAGGCAAAAGGTTTGCTACATTGCCTGTTTTACCAAAACTAGGAAGAATCCCGGCTGGACAGCAGAAAGTATGGCCTTTGGGTCTACAAATGTGGCAAAATCTGAGGAGCTCAAACTTTTTATTTCACAGCACAGGATTAGAAACTGTCAAACAATAGTCTGGGAAGAACTGTGGATGGCCGGGAAGGAAGTATATGTTTTAATAGGATTCTGAACCAGTTTCTCTGATGGCAAAAAAAGAGACCAAAGATAGTTCTGAGTAAATCAGTTTTGTAGAAAGTTTGTTTTTTTTTTTACTTCTCTAGCACTGTTTTCAAATTTTACCTTATCATCATAATAATTCTCAAATACCCAGCCATTCAAGATCTCTCCTGCACAGCCTGCGAATCTCTTTCTTCGAACTCCTGTCCTACCGCAAATGTCTTGTTTTTGACCCTGCTTGATCTGTTTAAATAGCCTTGACATTCTGCTGTATAATAAAACCAGATTCTACAAATTAGGTAAGGAAATAAATTTGACTTCAGATCCGTTTTCTTTCTGTTTGAATCTTTTGCAAAACTTGAGATTTAAGTTCAGAAATTTCTGACAAGGCATAATCCAGCAACTGAGAATGAACAAAATGAATAGATCCTAACTATTAAACAAGGTTTTAAACTCTCTCAATTCTCATGTGGGCTATGAATTTGCAGTATTCAACCTGAAAATACAAATGTCAGGAGAGAGATTAAAACACAGCCATTGCTTCTACAGGGGCTTTATATATTTGAACTAAACAACTTGTGCACAGCAAGTCAGGAATGTCACACCTGTTTCTCCTATGGCTTCCCTACATGTAAAAAGGCTTATTTGTCCAAACTTATCTGCAATGTTTAAGGTCACAGCATTTAAAGCACATAAACCATCATGATGTGTTCCATTCAGATTTGTCTATGCCACCTTCAGACAAAAGTAATCTTGCTCTTGTTATCACGTTTTCATCTATTGATCTTAAAGCCTACTAATATTTTTGACTCTGACGTGAAAATAAGAGAGGATAGTTTTTGATACCTCTCTACCGAGCACGCTGATTGATGAGGTGGAACTGAACAATGATGATTGGAACTGAACTGCCCTTCTTGAAATTTCACTCCCTAATTGAATAGAACCAGTTTGGAGATTGAATATTCCCCCCTCCAAATGCACAGCATTGCAGAGATGGGGCTGTTACCTTCTCCTGAAGGTGTCGAAGCAAGCACACCCAGGCTATCAAGCGCCCCCTCGTGATAGAGTGCCAGCCGTTCCATCATGCGCCTCCGTGCTGGGTTGATGACAATCTGAGGGGCAGAGTCACCTGCAGAAAGAAAGGAGACCATCACTAAGTGACAGCCTACCTGGATCATCAAACTCTTAACAGAAGACCTGGATTAGTGTCTACCTCTTGAAGTAAACCAGATAGGAATCACAACTAGATAAGCTAATTCTTCTTTATTGTAAAGCTATACTGACAGAATCTTGCAAGTATGAAAAGCACAGTCCTCTCCCCCACCCCCCACCCCGTCTCCTTTACAGCCAGAGAAACAAAAGAGGGTCTCTTCTAAGCCTTTTGCCACATCCACTATCCAACTGCAGGCTATGCTGTCTCTTATCTGACAGTTCCTTTGGCAGCATCTCTTTGCCCAGTCTCTCAAGGTCTTTCCCACAATTCACTCCGATTGGCAACAGTGTCATTCGGCTGCTCTCCAGGCACCAACCTGGGTATTTTTGATGCCAGATGAAGCAACCTTTACATTTTGAGCTTCTTAAAAGGCACCTTGCTTTCAGCATTGCTTTTAAGTTGTTAAGTACCTTCCCTCCTACTTTAACGCATTCGTATTACTATCCTATTAAAACTGTAAGTCTTAGTGAGAACATACATTGAAATAAAATAAGAACAGCAAAAGATAGTAAAATGTTAAAATACGGGTGCTTGAAAGTTACCAGGTGTAGGGCTGGGTGGAGATGGCGCAGAACAACCAAGGAAGAAATGCATTTTTTAAAAAGCTGCAGCCCAGCATAGCTGCCGATGATTAAAACAAAATTGACCAAACAAGCCAAAAAACATCAGATGGACAGGTCAAGTAATTAACATGGATGTGGAACAGTATTTAAAGCCATGTTAGGCCATGGCTCCAACTTGCTCCATATGATTGACACATACCCAAAGGCCACATCTTGCCAGGATTTGAGACAGGCCTTTCTTTACCCAACTGGAGATTCTAGAGGCTGAAACTGGGAGCTTAACAAATAAGGTTTTGTGTCATATAATATCTGATTTCAAAATACATTCCACAAATAACTGATTTAATGTTAGTGGAGGCCTACCTTCTTAATTGCATCATTCCTTCCATCTGACAGCAAAGCACAGGAGGGAAAATATTTCGGTCTATTACATTTCATGCACACCCTCGATAACAAAGTGCCCACAGCCCACAGTTGTTTTTATTTAAAATTAAACTTTTGGAATTTCTGTCTATATCAGTGGTTCTCAACCTGTGGGTCGGACCCCACTTGGGGCCGAACGACCATTTCACGGGGGTCGCCAAACAACGCAGTCCGCCATTTCTCCCCCCCCCCCTTTTCCTTAGCTGTGCTACTCGGTTTTATTCTATTGGCTTTTGAAAGCCAATAGAATAAACTCTCTTGAATAGAGTCTAATTCTATTGGCTTTCAAAAGCCAATAGGAATTGTCCAGGCTGTCTCTGCCCTGCTGAGCTCACCAAAAGTCCCATTCTGCAAATGGTGCTGCACCAGTTGAGTAGTCCTCGACTTACGACCAGTTGAGTAGTCCTCGACTTACGACTGGTGGGGGGGGAGGGGGTCACGGCATTAAAAAGGTTGAGAACCACTGGTCTAGATTATAGGCATTAATTGGACATCTGTACTTGTTGTAACAAGGACACATTAAAAGTATTCCAAACAAATGCCTTAATTATTGAACTTAGCTGATCCAGTAAAGGTTGTTGTTTCGCAACCATTTTTCTAATTAGCAATATTTCATTGTGCTTAATAAATACTTTAAATTTCCAACCTTAATAACTTCCAGCTCTTTGGTGTTCAGCTCACTGGATTTCCCAAGCAGTGCAGCCATTGCTGAAAATTCTGAGCTGAAGTCTATACATCTGGTAGTTGATAAAACACTGCTTTAAATATATGACTGTTATTTGCCGCCACATGGCCTTGATGATATATAATGTTGTCTGCTTACATTTGGCTTGTCATCTTGTGTGAACCCCACCCTTTTATGGCTTCCTGTTATCTGCTTAGCCGGCTTGATCATTCTGTCTGGCAAAGCCTCTGAATGGAGTGGGAGAAAGAGACGTCGTACCTAACTGGCCCATAGACATACTTTCTCTGGCCCCACTTCTGTCGCTCAACAGTTTGGAGTAGCCCTCTAAGCTTTCATCACTTTCCTCGGGTTCATTAAGAGGCTGGGATGTATAGTAGTCTTCTTGGGGTGTGTGAGGTGGCTGTGGAGGCAGCTGTAAGGAGGCAGAAGATTTCCCAAAGAGGAGTAACTGTAGCCTCTCTAGCTCTTGGTAGACCTGCAGGATAGAAAGAATAGTTACACACTTATTGCTTCTTAAGAACAACATCTGGCAAATAAAACAACTCACTCATTCTCCCATTTCCCAGGCAAAGCCAATGTGATCATATAAACAAGCTCCTTTGAACAGGAAGTCCCATTCCCTCCAGAGTTCACTTATTGTCTGATAGATAAGCCTTACGAGATAACTGAAAAGCTGCAAACGATATAGTGAATAAATGCCTTCAGGAATCGTGGGCGTTCCATTGCTGGAGATTTTTAAGAAGAGACCAGACAGTCACTTGTCTGAAATGGTATAGGTTCTCCTGCTTGAGCAGGTGGGTTGGACTAGAAAATCTCCAAGGTCCCTTCCAGCTCTATTCCTATTCTATTCCTATTCTATTCTATTCTATTCTATTCTATTCTATTCTATTCTATTCTATTCTATTGACATTCCTTCACTTAAATAGCCACCGACAGACACTGCAGTGCCAATAGGAAGCAGCAGAAAAAAAGAGACTCAATATAACTCGGCATTTATTCACTGTCGCTTCCCCATTCACCATCTTTAATTCTTTCCACCTAGAGTTCACACACTGGTCAGTTCCATAGAAGTGATAGGGGCAGCTGAAAATGAAAACAGCACTCTATTGTGGCGGTAGCATTATCAACAGAAATAGAATATTTCTGGACTGGAATTTGGATGTTGTTTCAGTTTAACCCTACACCCTTAATCAGTGGTCATGTCAGCTGAGAATGAAATTTAGCAACATCTGGAAGACCTATGGTTCCCCCTTCCTGGATCCTTCTAGTTGTAGGTCCTATGGAATGAGTATAGATAGGTGACAAAATAAACTTAACAAAAATGAGGGAGGGAGGGAGGAACGGTGGGTGGGTCATGTGTGTGTATGTATATATGTATGTGTGTCTCTTTTCTCTCCTTGCTCTACCATGAATATGCCATCCCTCTTTCATTTACACTGTATGATCATCCCAGAAACTTTAGCAAATAAAAAAGACAAACAGATATTTCTATTCATATATAATGAAATCAAATCAGTTGGAAAGTATCTGAAAACCTAAAAAAAATTCTCATCTCTGTTCTTAGTTCTCCCGCTGAGGGTAAACAGAAGCATTCTTATGTCTCTAAATGGTTTCTAGACATTAAAAAACAGATCCTTATTTCTCAGTGACTCATTCACAAGTCAGGGCCAACTTTGGATAAAGTTTTACAGTGCTTACCATGATCTGGGTGAGTCAAATGAATTATAATCATCTCCTTAGATTTTAAGACAAGTAATAGTTTGCACTTGCATGCACAAATCAAATAAATTTGAGGGGGAAAAACACAGACTTTTCTGATGCCAACCAACTGATATGAACCCCCAGGTATACGCTTGGTGTGGAATATTTCTAAAATTTCCACTTTCTAAGTACACAGAAGGGCACACCAGGCACAGATATAGACAGGGCTACGGAGATGTTAAATGAAAGGGATTTAAAAGAGAAGGGGGTAGGAAGCACTACTGTGTATGTATTTGTACATACACTCTTTATGAAGCTGACGTGAAACAACAGCATAAAGTAGTCAGTATATGTGAAAACAGATTCAGAAAGTAACATACACAAAACATGCATGATTGTGCCAGATTTTCATGAACGTTCAAAATTTTTCCTGACTCTATGAAACAAAGATTTAAAGTTAAAAGCTTTGTTGCAGCAAAGCAAATGCCAAATTTCTTCACAGAGGAAAGAAGAGACTCAGTATTCTAAATCGAATGTTTGTTCTCTTACTTCAGCCATTGAAGGGCGGCGTTTGGCTCGCTGGTGGAGACAGCAACAAGCCAACTTTCCTAGTGTTTTGCCCAGTTGCTCTGGACATGGGCCAGACCGTAGGTCTACGTGTTTTTGGTAGAGGTGACTGCCAAGCTGAACTGCTTTCGTATGACTGGAGGAAGTTGTGGCAGTTGACAGATGGGTTTTTTGCTCCTCTTCATCATTTACCAGATCCTTCTGAAAGCACAAACATGGACAAGCAATTGTAAAAAATCAAGCTGCGTGTGACAGAATGAATTAGGATAAGATGAGAGAGTTGCTCACCAAGTACTTGCTGTGTCCATGAGAATCTACTTCCATAGGTTGTCTTCCAGTCAAGAGTTCTAGAAGAACCTGACAGGGATGAAGAAAGATTATTTTGAACTATTTGTAGATAAAATACCACTAAAATGGGCACTTTGTTCTTTCCTCATACTTCAGTACAGGCAGCCAGGTGACCAGAACATAGAATTTCATTATAGGATTAAGTCATCCTAGGATAAAGCCGATCAGATATATTACAAAGAACCATTTTGTGTCAGGTTTTCCAACCAGTCCTTTTCATAAGAGCTCAGAGATCAACAGAATTATTTCAAGCTAACGTTTAATTCAACTGCTCTGAAAGTCGGACTCCATTTTCCCCAGAAGTAAAAGCAAACAATATTAGGTTCTAACAGAATTTTCCCTCCTGCCTCTTAATAAAATATAGCTTTATTGTATACAGTTTTAAGTCTTTGAAGAATCCTAATATTAATTCAAAATTTATAATGTGTATTAACCAGTAGCCATAAAAATCACCATTAAAACATCATAATTATAAATGGGTATCAGAGTTCATCGCAATTCATTTGGTCAAATCAAATACAATTTATGTTGCTATTACTATTATTATTATTATACACAATACCAACTCTGAATCCTTTAATGATGTACAAAATGCCTCAAATCTTATAAGTCAAAATCTAAAACAATTATAAAATATAATTACATAAATATTTTGGCCATGACAACTATGCATCACATAGCTGAAATAAAGAAGTTTGCCCATTAATTTAAGCAATCACACAAGTAAGTATTTTTTTTCCCAACATGTTGAGTTAGAATGTGTAATGCGATACTTAAGTAGGTCTGCATATAATGGACAAAGTAAAATTACAACTTTATTTTAATTGTGCCCAAACCATGTTAAATTGCCCAGGGAAAGAAGATGTTCTACCAAACCTAGAAGTGGCTCCCTGGCCATTATTGGATGGATTTAATAGACACCCACTATTACAATATGTGAGTATGAAAGTTATCTTAAGAGAAAGTTATTTTTAGAGAATTGTCTAATTCTCCCCTCAGAAGGAGAAGCTGAACTCAGCATATTCCCTGGAACCATCAATTGTTTAACATATTACCTGGGAAGAAGGCAGACTACACATTCTAAGCAGAAGCAGAATACACCTGATGGATGTTATAGAAATGAATATAGGCTGTTGAACAGAACAACTTAGAATTGCCCTCCACTTCTACAACATATCCTGTCCTCATCATACAATTCGAAATACAAATAGTTTTCAACTTATAACCATTCATTTAGTAACTGTTCTAAGTTACAATGGCACTGAAAAAGTGACTTAGTCCTCCCACTTAAGACTGTCATATTCCCATAGTCATGTGATCTAAATTCAGGCCCCTGGCAACTAGCCTGTATTTACAACAATTGCACCGTCCCAGGGTCACATGATTACCTTTTGTGACTTTCCCACCAGCTTCCAACAAGCAAAGTCAATGGGGACGCCAGATTCATTTAATAACTGCACGATTCATTCACACTGCAGTGATTCGCTTAACAACTGTAGCAAAAAGGTTGTAAAATTGGGTATAACTCACTTAAAAACTGGCTTGCTTAGCAATAGAAACGATGGTGGCTATAAATCAAGAGCTACCTGTAACATTCCTGCTCCCACATTACTCACCACACCGAAGCTGAATATATCAATAGCAGTAGAAAGCGTCCCAGTCCGTACATATTCAGGAGGCAGATAGGCCAATGTACCCCTCACAGTCTGGGTCTGGCCCAGCGAACTGCTTATTCCTCCCTTTGGCCGGCGGCTGAATCGTGCCAATCCAAAATCAGCCAGCCTTGGATTGAGTGCTGTATCCAAAAGGATGTTAGAGCTGTATATGACAGGAAAAGACAGTTTTGTCACTGTTGATGTTACCTAATTTGGTAATGAAATGTCTGCAAGAAAGCCACCAAGCTCAGAGAGCAGTGAGGACCCTACAGTTCCTTCTCAAACTCCCATATATTATAAGCATGACCAGGGAATACCTCTCCTCCAAATTTTCATCTTGTTGTTTGGAGACTTGAAGACTCAGTGCTATCCCCAAATACCAGTTACAGAGGAAAGGGATATGCATGCTATCTGGCTGACCATGATGAGAAACAAAACCCCGGACTAGAGGAAATTGCCCAGTGAGGTAATCTTAGGTCATTATGAAAACAAAAGGAATCAAGATATCAAAATATGCCCACAGCATAAAGGATGATGAACAGAAAATCCTTCTGGATCAGAAAAGTTGTTTTGCCTTGGAAACCACTAATTTCAGTTTTTCTTTAATTTGTGTTACTCTTCCCAGTACAGCGTTCATTGAATTAGATAGCTCTTTGAACTAGACACTACTCCAATAGATGCCGAAAAAAAACGTATAAAATAATAACATAAACACAGACATTTGTTGGCATTTTTAATTGGCATTTAATCAATGACCAAGGCATTTTAGATTTTGTTAATCATAATTCTCTGCAGCTCAAGTCAGCCTGGCTAATGGTGTGGAATGCTAGGGATTGAAATTTAGTAATGTGAAAGACCATAGGCTTCTCAGTTCAACTACTAATCGTGCAGTTATTCAGTTCATTGTCTATTTTCATTCTCTCTTGAACAATTGTTCCCTCCTCGCCCCCAAATTGAAGCATAGGAGGTAAAAAATTGTTAAACACCTCTCTCCTCACCCAAAAAGCAGATATCCTCACATTTAAACAAAACACAATGCATTAGTTATGTTCACATCTCACAGTCTAGGATATGATTTCCCCTCCATTCTCTTACCTCTTTACATCTCCGTGGATAAGGCTAGGTGAGTCACTATGTAGAAACTGAATAGCTCTAGCAGTGCCCAGAGCCACATGTAAACGTTGGGTCCAAGAGAGACAAGCACCAACCTAGAAAGTTTAAAATAGATTCAAGGACAGGAGTGATCCTGAAGGACTTGTTTGCAAGAACAGACTACTTTTAAATAGAGAGGACAAATTCAGCTAGGTACCTGGCCATGTAAATGATCTTCCAAGGATCCCTTGGGCAGGAAGACATAGACAAGGCAAAAGCATCCCTGTTCAGCACAGCAACCAGCAAACTCTACGATATTAGGATGGCGGAACCTAAGTTACAAGTGAGACAGTATTAAACAGCAGTAGTTCCAACTCAACCCACTCTTGTTCCCATGATTCTCTAGCATTGCTTTCTCCAATTTGGTACCCTCCTAATGTGCTGGATTTGGGGAGATGAAATCTAAGACATCTGAAGGACACCCGAACAATCCTCAACCCATTATTCCATTTCTGGGATCTTACAGTACATTCAACATAAACTTTGGCTCTTACCGGGAAAGTTTTTCCACTTCTGTGACAAAACTATTCTTTATTACAGTCCAGTTCAGTTCTGCTTCCTGTCAGTTAGTTTAAGGAAGATTTGAAAAAAAAAGGAAGGAAGGAAGATGTATAAGTCACCATTAGCTGGACTAAATGAAAAAGAATTCTGGGTGGTACAAAGGAACAGGATCCTTGCTTAGCAACTAAGCATCACATATATATGAAAAACAAAGGCCAATCTCCATGGCTATACACTCCTGGGATGCAAAGAGTTCATGCCCAATCTTGTTCATAGGAGATAATAATAATAAAGTTGGAAAGGACCTTGGAGATCATCTAGTCCAACCCCCTGCTCACGCAGGAAACCCTATACCGTTTCAGACAAATGGCTGTCCAGTCTCTTCTTAAAAACTTCTAGTGTTGGAGCATTCACCGCTTCTGGAGACAGGTTGTTCCACTGGTTAATTGTTCTAACTGTCAGGAAGTTTCTCCTTAGTTCTAGGTTTTCTCTCCTTGATTAGTTTCCATCCGTTGCTTCTTGTCCTGCCTTCAGGCACTTTGGAGAATAGCTTGATTCCCTCTTCTTTCTGGCAGCCCCTGAGATATTGGAACACTGCTATCATGTCCCCCCTTGTCCTGCTCTTCATTAAATTAGACATACCCAATTCCAGCAACTGTTCCTTATATGCTTTAGCCTCCAGTCCCCTAATCATCTTTGTTGCTCTTCTCTGTACTCTTTCTAGAGTCTCAACATTTTTTTCACATCGTGGTGACCAAAACTGGATGCAGTATTCCAAGTGTGGCCTTACCAAGGCATTGAAGAGTGGTATTAATACTTCACGTGATCTTGATTCTATCCCTCTGTTAATGCAGCCTAGCACTGTGTTGGCCTTTTTGGCAGCTGCAGCACACTGCTGGCTCATATTTAAGTGATTGTCCACTAGGACTCCCAGATCCCTCTTACAGTTACTACTATTGAGCAAGGTACCCCCTATACTATACCTGTACATTTGGTTTTTCTTGCCTAAATGTATCTTAGAGGTGCAGGAGCTAAGTCTAACAAATGTTACGGTTCATCATTCCATGAACTAGTTGAGAGATAAGAAGTCAGTGGAAATAAACATAAAATAAAAAGTGTGAGTATTGTAAGTTATAATACCAAATGGAAATACCTCCTTGAGCCGTTTCACAGCATAGACAGTATTGCGCAATCGGGCCTGGTAGACGCAGCCAAAACCTCCTTCACCAATCTTGAGACGTTCAGAGAAGTTGTCTGTAGCTTGGCGCAACTCTTCTAACTGCCACTTGAAAGGACACGTGGAGGGCAGAGATTCAAGGCCCTGGAACAAAGTGGGCAGACATACCATAAACAGGATGAAAAGGCATCTCTTCTCTCCAAACACCACAAAGTATTTATGACAGAAATTCCTAATTTCTAAACCAGGAATCTTGATTTGGGCGTCACTCTTAGACACCTGCTCAAAGTTAAGGAAATAATAATAATAGTAGTAGTAGTAGTAGTAATAGTAGTAGCAGTAAAAAGTTGGAAGGGACCTTGGAGATCATCTAGTCCCACCCCCTGCTCAGGCAGGAAATCCTATACTGTTTCAGACAAATGGCCGTCCAGTCTCTTCCTAAAAACTTCCAGTGTTGGAGCATTCACTGCTTCTGGAGGCAGGTTGTTTCACTGATTAATTGTTCTAGCTGTCAGGAAATTTCTCCTTAGTTCTAGATTGCTTCTCTCTTTGGTTAGTTTTCATCTGTTGTTTCTTGTCCTGCCTTCAGGCACTTTGGAGAATGGCTTGACACCCTCTTCTTTCTGGCAGCCCCTGAGATATTGGAACACTGCTATCATGTCACCCCTCATCCTTCTCTTCATTAGACTAGCTAGGAGTAGGCAACCTTGGCTCTTTTATGACTCGTGGACTTCAACTCCCAGAATTCCTGAGCCAGCTGGCTCAGGAATTCTGGGAGTTGAAGTCCACGAATCATAAAAGAGCCAAGGTTGCCTACCCCAGTAGACATATCCAATTCCAGCAATCGTTCCTTATATGTTTTAGTGTCCAGTCCCCTAATCATCTTTGTTGCTCTTCTCTGTACTTTCTAGAGCAGTGATGGCGAACCTTTTAGAGACCGAGTGCCCCAAAACGGGCCCCACCCCCCCCTGCCCCACCCCCACTCTGGCCCATCCCCCGCCCTGCCTGCTCACAGGACCACTCACTGCCTCCAGGGCCCGCTGTAGATCGCCCAGGCCGCCCAGCAGCGCTATGGCGGCCACACCCTCTGCCCGCGCCCTGCAGCATCAACTGCATGATGGGGTGTGATGGCAGAGTCTTGTCTACGCTGCCTGGCTGCCATGTCCTTGGCTGCGCTGCTCCGTGTGGGCCACGTTTGAGGGCGACTCTCCTTTAGAGAGGCTGCTGGAGAGGAGGGGGTTGCGGGGGGAGGCAAGGCTGGGGCAACAACATGTGTGCCCACAGAGAGGGCTCCGAGTGCCGCCTCTGACACCCGTACCATAGGTTCGCCACCACTGTTCTAGAGTCTCAACATTTTTTTCACATTGTGGTGACCAAAACTGGATGCAGTATTCCAAGTGTGGCCTTACCAAGGCATTATAAAGTGGTATTAACACTTCACATGATCTTGATTCTATCCCTTTGTTAATGTAGCCTAGCACTGTGTTGGCTTTTTTGGCAGTTGCAGCACACTGCTGGCTCATATTTAAGTGATTGTCCACTAGGACTCCCAGATCCCTCTCACAGTTACTACTATTGAACAAGGTACCACCTATACTATACCTGTGCCTTTGGTTTTTCTTGCATGAATGTAGAATCTTACTTTTTTCACCATTGAATTTTATTTTGTTAGATAGCGTCCAATGTTCAAGTCTGTCAAGATCCTTCTGTATCTTAAACCTATCTTCTGGAGTGTTGGCTATTCCTGCCAACTCGGTGTCATCTGCAAATTTGATGAGTTCCCCATCTATCCCCTCATCCAATCATTGATGAAGATGTTGAAGAGCAGTGGGCCCAGAACAGAGCCCTGGGGCACCCCCTACACACTTCCCTCCATGTAGATGCAGTTCCATTCAGGAGCACATGCTAAGTACGGCTGGTCAGCCAGCTACGAATCCATCTGGTGGTGATGCTGTCTAACCCACATTTTTCTATCTTATCAAGTAGTAGGTTGTGGTCTATTTTGTCAAATGCCTTACTGACGTCCAAGTAAATTATATCCACAGCATTCCTCTGGTCCACTAATTTTGTCACTTGGTCAAGAATGCAATAAGATTTGTCTGGCATGATCTGTTTTTGACAAACCCGTGTTGGCTTTTAGTAATGACTTTGTTTGCCTCTAGGTGTTCGCTGATTCATTGCTTGAATCAGTACATGTACTGTACATGTTAGAAGAATTAGAAAATTAGAAATGAATGGGATTAAGAGAGTACGGTATAGGTAGACCTTGTTTAACAACTATTCGTTATGCAACCATTCAAAGTTACGCTAGCACTGAACAAATATACTTACAACCGGTCCTGGAAATTTTGGCCATCCCAGCATCCCTGTGGTCACATGATCTGGATGCTTGGCAACCACCACGCAATTACAATGGTTGCAGCATCCCATGATCATATGATAGCTATTTGTGATCTTCCCTGATGTTTTCTCACAAGCAAAGTCACTGGAGAAGCCAGGAGGGAAGGTTATAAGTCACTATGCTAAGTTGCTCGCACTTTTCCCCACCCGACAGAACCCATCCCTAGCTCTGCTGCGTTTGTACCGCAGGGTCAACAATGCACCCTCACCCTTGTATATCTTCCCTTACTCAACAGCAACCCTTATTTGCCTGCTGGTATGTGAGCTGCCTGGGAATGTTTGAAAACCTGTGACTCTTCCTTAACAATGGCAATGGGAAGGGCCGCGACTGCTGTCGCTAAGTGATACAGGCATGTGATGTTGTGCTTTATGACTACATCACTTAACGATGCAAATTCCAGTCTCAATTACCACTGTTTACTGTGGACTACCTACCCAGGAAGAAAGCAACATATTAGGCAACTAGAAGAAAGGGGAAAATATTGATGTCAGTAACAGAACTTTGATAAAATAATGGATATGGATCTTCATGCAGTTAAAACCGAAGAGAAGTAACTTCAGCAATGGCAAAACTGCGGCAGTAAAGAGAAATTAAGTACTAGCATCAGTGCAGAGTGCAAAAGGAAAAGAGAAGGGGGGGGGGTGTTAGGGATTTAAAGCAGAGCTGTAAGCAACCTCAAAAAAAAAAAAAAAATGAGAAAGGAAGAACCGTTACTTAAAAGATACCAAAAAATATATGACTGAAAAAGAAAAGGTAGTCACATATGTCTTAAATATCCCTGAAAGATACAGATTATGTCTCCTATGCACAATTAGATGAAAAACAAGTTTGTTATAAAATAAACACAGAGCAAATCATTATAGCTCCCAGGAAATCCTAAACATCTGTTATTGCCATAAACAAACAAACATTAAAAGTTCCACCGACTTTTCCCCGCACCGTAGTTTCTCTTCTACTGACTGTTAGTTCTTCTGACTACATCCCACTATGCAGTCCATACCTGTGTGTCACTGTGTGTTGGAGGCGATGGCAGGGTGCTGGAGGCTGCACTGCTGCAACGGCTACTTGGAGTGGAGTCTCTCGAAGGGAGCAGAGGATTGGGCTGATCTGTTTGCCCAAGAAATAAATGGGAATTCAGTTGCAGACAAGATTCAAAATAGCCAAATTTTTATTATATCGTATTGTTTAAGAATTAGGATATGAATTTGTTTATTTATTATGCTTTATTTAGAATTTGTTTATTTTTGTTAAAAGGGAGTTAAAGTGTATTATGGATTTGGTTTTTATATAGTCGGTTAATGTTATTTAGATTATGATTGTCATATTTGTAACCCTGTATTCAGCTCTGGGAAGTGTGGGAGGGGAAGGGGGTGTTTGGGATTGTTTTGTTGTAAACTTTTGTAAAACTTTTCAATAAAAAAAAAGATTCAAAATAGCCCTAGTGTTCATAGCCCACCCACCTCTTTGAGCAGTGACTGTTTCGGTGAAACAAGAATACGTATGGAAATAAATTGAAAAGTCATGCATGAAAGAGGAAGGGGAGGCACCACATTAGTGTGTCATTAAGAATTATATACAAGAAACGGTGTATTCCAAGAAACTTGTGAGCATTTAGTTCTAGTAATGAATGTTGCATTTGGCATCCTTTTGAAATTGGTTGTCTCTATCCTAAGACAGATGTTCTAGAAGGAAGTAGTAGAAGTAGTAATAAGTGGTCATCAAGTTCTCACTTTCCTTTGAAAGGAGAAAGGCTGCCAAACCAAGTTTCAAAGCAGATGAAACTTCATAAGCACCTTTACACTGGTTGTGCATATGAAATTTTCAGGGACCTCAGTGGCTCCTTTGACTATTTTTTTTTATGCCTTTCCACAAATAACAGAAATAAAATTTGGGAGAGGAGGGAGGCAAGCACGCAAAGTTTATTCAAGATCCCAAGCCGATTTTCTTGGTGACAAATTTTAGCTGCTTTTGCCTGTGGGCTTTAATATTCTGTACTGCAGAGCACAGTTCTGGTCATTAGGAGCTTGCTGTATCTAGGAGCTTCTAATAAGGAAGCCAGCAAAACAATTTCCTCCTGTTATTAATTAACCATCTTAAATATCACCAGAGTGATTTCTCTTTCTCTCTCTCTCTCCCTCCCTCCCTCCCTCTCCTCACTGACCCTATTAATACCAAACCAAATAAACTTGGTGAAGGATCAGGGGTTTGTTTTTTTTTTTACTTCTGGCAAGGAGGGGTATACTTCCTACTTATGGGCCAGACACATCTCTCATTGCATTAAATCCATCTGACTCCATCTTGTGGGAGAGAACAGCTTTTCCTAACCAAAGACCTTCCAGAGGCATTCAGTTTACAAGCCCCAGAAGGAGCAAACCACAAAGTACATGCGGTACTTTGGGACCTGGTACCATCCTTGTCTCATTTATCATTTTTTTTCAACTTCGTCACTTCCAGAAAAGAGGAGGAAGAGGGAGGGGATTAAGCACATTCATTTCCCCCCCCAGTGAAATCATTCCCCCCCCCCGCAGGATTTCAAGCAATCACTTCTATAGGCACTTTTAAAAACAACAGGGAAGGTGGGAAATACCTCAATTTATGTGAAATTCAGCTTCCCCAGAAGCACTGTATTGCTTATGTGGATTATTGGAAAAACAATTTTATTACTAGGAAGCCTAAACTTTCCAGAAATGATTTGACAAATCCTTTAACTTTTACAAAGGCTCTCTCCCCGATGAGTAAAAAAACTGAATCATAGGCAGAGTCTTCCTACATTGTCTTTTAAAGACAGAACCGGGTAATCTGGCTTCTGGGACTACTTAAAATGTGCATGGGATGGGCAGGAATTTGAAAGAGACAGTAATAGCAAACAAAAAGTGATAATTCAAAAATGTACATTAGCAATTTTTCACCACACATATTTTGAAAATTACAATTGCTGTGTAATAAAATAAAGTAGTCTTCTAGGCAAGAAGATACTGTTTTATTTATTAACCTATTATTTCAATTTGCAATTTATTTAGGGTAGTTCAGGAATCCAGTCAATACCAAATCCCAAATGATATAAAACAATTAAAGCCCAGTTAATTTTAGCAATTAAAATTCAAGTATCTCAAACACTAAAGACCTGACAGAAAGGGAGATCGCTCCTGGGACTATGCGATGTTCCAGATTTCCCCCCCCCCCAAAAAAAAGTGACTTGGAAAATATGGGGGCTCACCTGTCACACCTATCAAAATCTCCTTAAATCAGAGGTGTATTTTCCTGCAGATTCTTTGAGGAGGCATCAACAGATACCATGTGAGAGCACCTGAATGCTCTGAATCATTTTTCCTCATTTGAATCTGGACCATTGTGTAACCCTAGTTTTTACTCCTTTGTAAAAGACAGACTGTAAAGTTGCAAGGCTCAAGTACTTATGGGAGCACCTTGAGGAATCCATATATATCTCTATTCTGAGAGCTGCACTGGTTTCCAGGTGCAATTCAAGATTAATTTTAAAGCTTTGCATGATTCAAGGCTTGGATATCTATGGGACAAATTTCTCACTAGCCTCCCTTGTAAGAGACAGTACAGCAGGTGCCTTATGCTGGCCACTTAATTTGAGACACCACCTAGAGGGGGTCATGGAACATACTTTTGTATTTGCTATAACCTCCTCTGAAATAGTTTTCCTCTCTCAGACATTCAGATGATCCCTTCCCTCGTGTTGTTTAGGATCTTCTGATCTTCAGAAAGATGGTGAAAAACAAACTATTCTATCAAGCCTTAAGTCATTATGACAGTTCCTCTGAATTAGCAACCATTGTAGTTGTGTTTTTGGAATGTGAAAGTTTGATGGAGCACATAATTGTTTGTAGTCCCCGGTTTTGGTTTTGATTATTATGTACTATTTTAAGCCAAATTAAGGATTTGGGGAGTTCTATACTGCTGAGAGTTGGTTTATTGGAGTGGCCCATAAACAAGAGAACAAATGAACAAATGAATAAATACAGCTACCAGGAAGTGCATTCCAAAACTTGGGAACAAGGCAAAGAATTACCTTGTTCACCAACTTCACATTTGATAATGTAAATAACAAAGTTGAAAAGTACATGATTATTACACAGCTAGTGTAAAGCTCTCCAGATTGAGCAAATTCAATCTAAATATTTGAGAAGAGTTATGAAGGGACCTGTCCATAATCTGTCAGGTTAAACAAATAGCAATAAAAGTTTTCCCATGTCAAAGTTCAAAACTCCTACATAACTTTTTCCTTACTATCTCACCAGTGAGAAGCTCATGGATTTGTTCTGATTTCCATTTAAAAATGTAGATTGTAAACTCTTAAGAAAATGTATCAACATTTTAAAACATAATCTACAACCATAGCAACAACCAAATCATGGAAAAAGAGAAACTTATTAACAGCCACTTATTTGGAAAAAAATAGACACGAAATGAACAAACTATGAAAATGTCTGCAAAGAGTTCTGGTATGGGTGAGCTTATGTTCCCTCCTGGCATACTGCTCTTACACCAGGAGTAGCTTAAATGGACAAAATGAGTTATAAAAGCTTGCGGACTACCATGGTAGATAGTTGAGAACATAGGTGGAAGGCAATTTCAAGTACAAAAATAAAGAAAGGAAAAACATATGAAGCGTAGCTTTTGGAATTCTTGTAATCCCATTAATAGCAACTCCACCCAGACTAAAAAAAACTCAGAAGCAGGAAGAGCAGGGATTAACAAAGGAGCAGTCGGTAGCCTCTGGGCTGTTTCTCATTTGCCTTTCTTATAGGGATGCCTTGTGATTTTTTTTATTCTAGATTTCTATTTCTCCACAGCGACTAATCTGCCCATTTTTAAATTCCCTTGTTCTTAACCAGTTTCTACCACCACACAAAATTTGGTCCCACTCTATTCTGTGTTACTCTGCTGACCAATAAGAGTCCCAAATACTTTTACATAATTTCTTTCCAACATTCTGGTGGGTTGGAAAGTATAAAAACCTATTAGGCTTTTTAGAGTATACATTTTTTAAAAAAACAAATCACTCAAGGCAATTCAAAAGAGTAAACATGAAAATGAAAAAAAAATAAATCAAAAAATTTAAATACATACATTCAACCTAAGCAAATATAATCAAAAGTAAATATACTTACATTTCAGATTCACTCAAGAATGGAAGCTATTAAACATTTTATGCAGTGTAAACCTGAACCACAACAATAAAACCTCATATAAAATCTGTTTGGGCACGGGAGGGGGGGTGGAGGAGGAGGAATAGTTATTCTCTCAGAGATGTAGGGCATCAATCAGAGCAGAACCTAGAGCAGGAACAGGGAGTTGGCTATGGTCATCTGAGATACTCTGATATTGTCCAGAGGTGCTGTTCTATAAAACCTGGTTGCAAGACTTCTGTGGTAGTACGTGCTCTAGAAGTTGAGCTGTTGCTATTCTACCAACCTTCCTGCTTCATAAGATACTTTATGAAAATAGTTTTACCATGCTTTTCCAATAAAAATGCTAAATGTGCCAAACCAGTTAGCTACAATGCCAGGAGAAGTGAGGGAAATTTTACATTTTCACTTGTGCTAAAGCTTAAAGTAGAAAGTAAAAATGCATGCTTGGCCTCATCATCCTTTCTGAGACCACCCTCCAGATGAAAACTGCATTGTTACAGTTGTTTCTGTGACAAGAATTGTAGATGGGGAGAGGAATGAGAATTGTGGGCCCTATGAAATCTTTCAGATCTATATTTGCATTATCAAACCCTTAGTCATAAAACCTCAACATATACACCCACTCTCCTTTCAGTTACTTTTCATAATTGCAAAAGGAGAACACCGCTGAAGAAGAATCACAGAAAAATCAGTAAGAAAAATCACAGAAAAGGACAAGAAGAATGATTAAAAGGATTAAAATAACTTATTTAGGAGGAACAGGTCCTCCTCAAGATCCCTGGGGGCGGGGAAACTATTTTAAAAGTACAATTATTTTCTGTCTAATACAAGAATTTGGAATCATCTCATGAAATTGACATGTTCAAAAATAACAAAGAGGAACTTCCTGCTCCATCAATGTGTAATAAAATTGGTACTGGTGTAGATTAACTTTCTAAAAAGCATTTGACCAATTGTTCGAGATTAAACCTGCCATCATCCATAAACTATGAAAGCAAATTAAAATCCAATTATTCGGATGTTAACAGATTTCTATATGCTAGATTCCAGTTCCACTTTCTTCTCATGTACTCTGACATTTTAGCGGGCACATCTTCAAATTTTTAAAGCAACCTAGAGCAATTCTTAGGAAGTTGAATTCTGTGACCAGTGCCAATTTCTGTGCTATATAAACAGTGTTTAGAATACCTGCAGCCCAGCAGAGGAGTCTATGAGTAGGTGAAACTCAATCTATTCCATTGTCCTAAACCTAAATGCTTTTGAATTTTATGAAATGAGGGTTTCATGAAATGGAAAATATTTCATGCTTCAAATTATCTGAAGAAAGTTGTCCCTGAACAGCCCCACTGGACACATTCCAGGATCAATGGCAAACATGCCGCTTGTACCTGGTTCAGGTGGGGAGGGTTTCTGGTGGGGCTCCCACATTGTTGTAATGATCTTGCAGCTGCCTCTGCCACCTGGATCTGGGGCAGGTGGGGGTTTAGGAGAAATAGATGGCTTTTGAGAAGTCAGCGGACTGGGCTTCTGGGAATATGGCAACAGACGTCCTGTAAGAAGAAGAATGGAGAAAAAAGAATTAAAGATTAGTTCATGCACATCTTTGGTTAGTGTGGTTCTGTATCCAACTGTTATGCTTTATAAACTATGTGTCATACCTTAGAATATTATCCAAGCCCAATGATTAGTTGCTTAACCAACAATTAATTAAACCACGGTTTAGCAATCATGCAAACTAGCTGCTCTTCTTTTTATAATGACACTTGCAACAAATAATTTGGTTAAACACAATAGAACTAATAGACAGAAGTTATCACTCCTAAGGATCCAGTCGCCTACAGAAAGCTGAATCCCTGCTACAGCCAGTTAGAAG